GGGAGGGGAAAGAAAAGGATGGGTGGCGGAGGTAAGATGGTCTGAAAATTGCCAGCAGGGAGGAGAGCTGCAAGAAGGACACCGGACGGAGATAGCAAGAGATTACCAGCTGATCTTCCATGAATGGACAAACCTCTATCCCGGCGAGAGGTTACGCCCGACTCAAGAATTTGCAGACCCCTTCCCCCCCCACCCACTGGCACTGGAGGAGGTCCTCCCCCCATGATCACAGTAATCCAGTCCGGTGGAACCGGCCCGGCTCAGTTTTCGGTCTGCTTGCTGGCCACTTGATTTTGCCCTCTTCTTTTGCCCTCTTCTTCTGTGGTCCCCTACTTCTGCTCCCTTCTGTTCTCTTCAGATCTTGGCCTCTTTCGGTTCCTTCTCTGGTTGTCTATCCCTGCTTATCCCTGCTCATCCCTGGTTACCTCTGTCTATTCTGTCCCCTCCAATACAAGTCCAGTCTAATGGTTAGTAGAGAGACAGCAGCAGATGGATACACTACAGGATTGGTTGAAGAAACTGCACCGATATGGGACGCTGGACCCGGTTTCCAGCATTGGCAATGTACTGTCTGTTTCAGCTTTCTCGGTTACAAGTTCAGTCTAATGGTCAGCAGAGGGACCACAGCAGACGGATACACTGCACGATTGGTTGGATGAACAGCACTGAAAATGGGACGCTGGACCCGGTTTCCAGCATTGGCAATGTACTGTCTGTCTCAGCATGTCTGATAGTTCTAAATACAAAGAGGCATCAGATTGGTTGTATGAACAGCATCAATATGGGACGCTGGACCCGGTTTCCAGCATTGGCAATGCACTGTCTATCCCAGCCGTTTCAGATAGTTTCAAATATAAAGAGGCGCCAGAAGGAGAATAGGTGGATGGCAGGGGCTGGGGTTGGAGGAGGCTCCACTGGTGCCCCCCAGTTGGTCCCCCCCAATAGCCAAGCCTGCTGCAAGATAGGTCTGGTATAGTGGATTGAAGGGGAGGCTGGACCTCGTTACCAGCGCAAAGGCGTCTCCTTTACAACGTACTGTGCATAAAGATGTATCTAAGGGACGCTGGACCCGGTTTCCAGCAGGTGCTGCTCCCCACCAATAGATGGAGCGGCCCGCCAGGCAAGCCTCAATCCCGGTGGTTCTCTTACCACCACCAGGATAGAGGCCTTGCATAAGGGCTTTTTCTATTAAAAAAAAAAGAAAAAAAAAAAGAAAAAATAAATAAATAAAAAAAAGAAAAAAAAAAAAAAAGAAAAAGAAAAAGATTTCCTTGTGGAAGGCGCATGGACATACACAGAGAGTCACAACTCCCTCCAAACTCAACTCTTTTCTTCCTTTTGGCTGGCGACTGCACCAAACCATGCATTGTCCACATTCGTTTCAGAAAAGAGAAACGGCCTGTCCCCTTATACGGCGCGGTTCACCCACACTGTGTCAGAACTCTTTTTTTTTTTTTTTTTTGGCTAGGTGCTGCACCTCTTGGGTGGCTCACCCCAACGACCACAGCTAATGATGTGAGGGACGCGGGCCGGCTTGTACTGATTTGATCTCTTGTTTTTTTCTTAAACAAAAAAAGAGGGGAAAGTTGGGAAACTACCGGAGAGTCACAAAAAGGGTTTTTTTTTTTTTTTTAAGGGTGACGACCTTGAGATATTATCATTGAGCTGACAGGCCCCAGGCGATTCATTAGGAGTTGGTTTAACTCGTCAAGTTCCATCATTTGGATTCGAACACAGGACCTGGTCTGTATTTCAACACTTCATCGGTGTACCCACTGAGCTGGGCTCTTGGGTACACAAAAAGAGTTTGAAATTGCACTTCAGGGATTCCCCTGAACATAACACCACCCAGCTTGACCGTACCGGACCGGAAAGCTAGGTTGTATACATTTGATGTTTTCTGGAAGTGCAATTTCAAACTCTTTTTCTGACCGCCCCATACTTTCCCCAAGAGGCCAAAGCCAAAAAGGTTCCAATGGGGGACGAAGCGAGGGGCGCCGCCTTACCGCTCAAGCCTCGTGGCGCGTTGCGCTAGTCTTCGTTAGGGTTTCTTCAATAGACAAGGAGGTTGGATGCCATATTAGCCCTACTTCTACAGACGCGGAGTTTGGACGCCATAGCCCGCCCGGGGCTCTCAGCACGGGTGAGGCGTTTCGTGAAGCCGTCAAGTTTCGGATGAACTTGAGCAGCAGCGACATGAACTTGTCCTTGGCGTTGTGGACAGGTGGTGGGCCCATCAGGGGCCAAGAGGGGGTTATAAGAATACTCGAAAACTCTCGGAACATTCCGAATAGTTTGAA